TGAGAGATATTTAGAATGTTTTGTTTTACAATGGGTAGCAGTTGATATATTTACCTACTTACTAAATATATAATACAACATATGATTTTGAATTCTACTATCTCAATATCAAAATGTGTATCATAGAACCATAAACTGGTTACTATTTTTTTTTTTCTTTTTTAGCTTTTTGAGACAAAGTCTCAGTATGCACTTCAGGATGGCCTTGTGCTCACTACGTGGCCTAGGCTGTCCTCAAACTCATGGCAATCCTCCTGCTTCAGCCTCCTAGTGCTGGGATTACAAGTGTGCACCACCATGCCTGGCAGACAGAAAGATTTTTAAAGCTAGTATCTGAGTCACTAACCATGACAAGTTACTATATTTGTAAAATGTCAACTGGTAAGAAACTCAAATACAATATAAAATCCAATATACTGCCAGGCGTGGTGGCTCACGCCTGTAATCCCAGCACTTGGGAGGCTGAGGCAGAAAGATCGCTGTGAGTTTTGAGACCAGCCTGGGCTCCATAGTGAGTTCCAGGTCAGTCTCAATAAACCCCATAAAAAAAAAAAAAAAAAAAAAAAAAAAAAAAAAAAAAAAAAAAAAAAAATCCAATATACTAAATCCAATATAAAAATATTAAATTGCCAACAACAGCATGTTTCATAAGACATTTGAGGGCTGGGGATTTAGTTCAGTGGTTCGGTGGCCTGCCTTGCAAGTTCAGGGACCCGAGTTCAATTCCTGGTACCAAAAGAAAACAAAAAAACAAACTGAGTTCCCATAAGACATTTGAACCAAAGTTCACCTATGAACTATAGTATTTCCTTTCTAGAATATTTTGGTCAAAGAAATAAACAGGCATTTAAACTCTCTCTGTCATTTAAATTCAGCCCCCATCACAACATAATCACTATCAGGAAAAGAGGACTCCTAAGTCCCAGCATCCTATATTTTCAAATTCAATAACCAAATATACCTCTGTGTAATTCATTATTTCTATTTTATGTTATTAAATTGTGTGAAAAGCAGGTATATAAAATAGATACTATGAAAGGCTAAAGCTAAATTAAGGAATGAAATGATTTGTATAAAATCTCCAAATGATCCAGAACATAGCTGCCCGGAGTCTGATGATTGAAACCGCAGATCTAGGACACAGAAAAATAGAATAAAGTCTTATGATGTCTATATTTTCCATCTCTTCCATGTCTGATATGAAAAGGGAAAAAATAATCTCCAAGTACAGACCAAATGCAAGAGAAGTACACTTTGTGATCGGAAAGTTAGAGCATTTATTTTTCACACTACTTCCTCTTATACAGTTTGTAGCTCAAATTCTCTCACCACTAAGGGCACAACCCTTCTGCCAGGTACTGAAGATCCTGAAGTTCATTAGCCACCTAACAAACTTGTGTCACACAGCACACACAACTAAGCTACAGTTCTTCAGCCTTTTCATAAGCACCCTGCCAGCTGCTTGTGGGCGATGCCCATGCCGTTATCTAGCAGTCAGCAAAATAAACATCAAAGAGATTCTCTGCGAAGGGCAAGAATTGCCAGTAGGGCCAAAACACAAGCAAGCCCCAAAAAAGGGTTCCATTTACCCAAGAATGGTCTACAGCTACCCCTAGAGTGAAACTTGGCAGAAACCATGTTAGAAATGCACAGAAACACTCACAATCCTTATTTATTTTGCAGTTCTTGCCACATTGCTGCAGGGAATAATCTGCAAAGGAAGGTGACTGCATAAATTAAGCTTTCCAAGTATACGTAGGTTAATTCTCTACTTTTTCCTTTTAAAAATTAAAGGAAACCCTTTGATTGATGGTGATGCACTGATCAACAACCATTCTGATGCCTGGTTCTATTTCTAATCCAAGACAATACCTCTTAAAATACTGTACACCCTGTTCCACATTACAACACAAATTAGGACATGATTCCAGAGCAAGCTTCATAGGTAGGCAGCTCACAAACTGAATCTAGCTGAAAGACCTGTTATGATTGGCCTGCAAATGTGCTGTTACTTTTTTTCTTTAAATGAATTAGTTGCCAGTATTTGAAATAAGATTTCTGATTTCGCAGCACCCTTGGCCCACACATTTGCAGTGATCAGCTTGAGCACACTCATTAAACAGCTGCCCCTTTTGCGTGAGGCTTGCACGTTCCAGCTGACCTTTGTCTTTTCCCTTGGATGGGCCTCCTCAGGGCTGCCTCTACTACTCATTTACATTACCTGCCTGCAGGCTGAGTTTGACGAATTTGGCAAACAGAAATAGTATTACGTTAAATGAGACCAGAAAGAAGAAGGAAGAGGAGGAAGAAGAATGGAAAGAAAGGGATGAAAAGGGGGAGGAGTAAAGGGCTGAATTAGAGACAGGAGAGGGATCAAAAGGAGAGGAGGAAAAAGGAACAAGAAGAGGGAGGGGAGAGTAAGAAGCTGTTCCTGCCTTCAACGAGTTTACAATCTAGTGAAGGAGTACCAGATAATTTAAAAGCAACAAACAATGAAGACAGAATAAACCAATATGGCACAAGTAACTAGGAAATGAAAAGTAAAGGTCATTACAGAGTGGGATGGATTTAATAAGGAGAGATCTACAAAACTTCTGCATAGGCAAAGTAATCAAACCAGATAGCCAGAAAGGAGGAAGTCAGATCCTTTCAATAACATATACTAAAGGCAGAGAAATAGAAATGGAAACAAGCAGTCCCAAAGCAGACTGGGATGAAGGAGATGAAGGAATAAGCAGACAGAAGGCTTAAGCTGACTGTTTACATGCAGAGTACATAAAGAGCAGAGTGGTGTGAGACCAGATGGTATCTCTAATATGCGCAAGCTTCCTTAGCCATTTATTTCATTTATGTTCAATCAATACCTCAAGATCATTAAGGATTCTTTTGAAGAGAATCACCTGCAGAGAAGCTCCTATTTCAATACAGCACCTTCATGAAGAGAGTCTGAAGATCACAAAGAAGGCCGTACTGCCTCTGTTTCTGTGCTTTGAGTATGTCAACTAAGGGGAAAAATGGGGTTTTTAAAAAGACAGAGAAAAGAAAATAAATAAAGAAAAGGCAGAGAATAGAAAAAGCAAAAAAGATGGTAAGGAAAAAAAACAGAACCCAAAATCAGGAGTAAGTTTGTGGAGAAGTGTTGAAAGCATCAGCTATTAGCCTCGAGTGAACATAAACTACTTTCTATCTGCATTGATCCTCCGATTCTCCTGCCCTAAGTGGCCTCATATCCGTCCCACTTCAATTCCCTCACTTACATCTGCTACCCCTTCCCAGCAAGCCTGCTCTGGGCTCCCTGCTGCTAAATTTGCTTACCTGAGGTTTCTGGAAAGGGTTTCGCTTGGAGGACTCAAAGGTGGGATAAACTGGCCGTGTTGCCGCCCGCTGGGCAGGATCTTGGCACACGAATCCTGAATGGGACATAAGCAACATTAAAATCTGCCATTTTATAAGAAATTAGCAAGTTTGGCTGTACCTTTATATGTACAAATTTGGTTTCATGGTCATAAATACCACAGAGGTCCATTCTCAAGGGGATTTTGCTGGTGGATAAATAGCTGAAATGTGATTCCAACTGAGAAAGCTAAGTAGATTTCTTGATAAATCCCAAATAAATGCACAAATAACCATATAAAAAACATAGTTGCTAATACAAACAAGTTATTTTAAAGTAGCTTCCTGGATGATACCTAAAAAATAAAGTATTTCCTGGGAGAATCCAACGAGTGAACAGTCCTGCGCTGCTACGTAATCTACTTCTGGAACTGCAGAAGGTGGTCTACCGGCAACTTTGAAAATGAGCTTTGTAAATTATCTATGGCTTAAGAAATGACTTCAGTTAATTTCACTTACTTCCTAAAAAGAGGTGGATTCCCATCCAAGAAGAGTAAAGTAGCTATGTTTTATAGCATTTACTGGTACATCAAGTACTAGTTCATCTCAAATATGTTTTATAATGTCTTTTGAGAGAATGTTAAAAGCCAACAATAAATCCACATCATACCCACCTGACTGCCCATCTCCATTTCAAAGTTTTGGCTTATTTACTTAAAATGGGACTTCTTCCTTGGGTAACTCTGGATATAACTACTACAGAAGGGATCATGTTGAGACCAGTAGAGACTGTCTAGCAGAAATATAGCCAGTCTCCTTTGTAATAAGGCTTCTTCAGTGGGTTTCACTTTCCTAGCTCAGAGAAAAATATACTTTCTACAGATCTTTGCTTAATTCTCCGCTTCAGCTCATAATTCCTGTGCCCCAGGTCTCAGCCTTAGTTGTGGTTCAACCTCAGGACAGAATGGAGCCAAGGGGAGTAGAAACATATAAACACTTCCCTGAAAATATAATTTCTTAGTACAAAACATTCGGTGTGGCTTCAGAACTGCCAGTTGGCAGTACCTATGGAGCCTGACAAGATGGACGCGCTTGTTCATTTTTATGTGAGTTCAGTTCAAAAACCACTGCTACTCACCTACAACAGTGAACATATCTGAAATCATACTGGCTTTAATCTTTAGGTCCAGAGGTGCATCACTAACAAAACAGAAAAAGAAAAGAACTATTTGTAATTCTATAAGTTAACAAAGTAGCTGCCTCCTAATGGGCCCCAATATAGCAAACTTTCCAAATGTCAATGAGAAAGCAACACAAAGCACATCAAATCCATGGGAAAAGAAAAAGAAAACTGGGCAAAAATACAAGAAATAAAAGCCCGATTTTAAATGCATTTTCTGTAAGGCAGGCCCAGCACTACACATTGATTCCCTGAAAGAGAATCTTTTTATTCCATGAGGTCTTGTGCAATTTTAATTTTGTACAAGTCAAGAATATTGCTTCATTATCACTGTGGCTTTTAGGGGTTCATCTTTTAGTATGTGCTTCTGTGAGTGTGCCCGTCACCCAAAGTGTTGTACTGATGTGATCACTGAATCACATTCACTTGCAAGACTGCCCACCTTTGTACTTTTTTTTCAGTCTTCATTTTCTGTTCTCAATCTTCCTAGAATTGCAGGTTACAAACAGGGCAAAAAGATACAAGCAAGGCACACCAAAATCTCAGCAGATGATGCAGCAGGACCGCACACAGAAACAAAAACGTGCACTGAAAAAGGAGAGGCCCCTTGGTGCCGGTGACTGCTATGATGACTTCTGTGCTTCTCCTGAACCACACTCTTCTGGCCGCGGAACCCTGTGTTCACTCTAGGGATCTCTGACATTGTCCAATATGCTTTATTGGGCAATCTGCAAAGGGCTGACTTACATGAAAGTGTAGCATGACATCTGAGGCATCTGTAATATCCAGCTTTACACCTTACTACTGAAATTAAGCCAAACTCCCACTCTACAAAGTAGTCAATCTGTCTTTATTTGATTACCTGGCATTTAGCCAATGACTCTTATCCTTAAAAACTCAGCAGCTGGGTGGTCTTTGGCATAAATCTCGAGGGTTCTCTGTTTAGAGAGTATATAGCTAATAGAAATTCTGGCTGTAACTGTGCATACAAACAGAATCTTCTTTCATATTGAAAAATGTTTCATTCTTATAAAAAAAAAATAGACTGGTTTTCAAGCTTTTTTGAAGATTGCTTGAAGTTTTTAAGATTTTAATCTTGGATGGATACCAGGATATGGAACAGGACAAAAGAACCAGGTATTATCTAGTGTCCTCCAACCAGCTTTATCCCTTTCTGCTCTATGAGGACTGAAGTATGCATAAACTTCTGCTAACAAAGGGAACATAATACCTTATGTATTTCTTTAGCCTTAACAGAAAACTGGGAATAAAAATGAATGCAAGAATCATCTCTTAGAAGCCCAGTGAATAGTATATATTACAAATGACCAGGAAGAAGGGCCCTGGTTGACATATGAACTTTGGTAACATCTAAATTTCATCTAAAGTTTAAAAATACAAGTCATCTCTGACTAATAACTAGTGTCTTCCAGTGTCAACAGAAATGTTCTTGCTCCTAAAAGAAGGTGTTTTAGTGCCATTTTCAGGTTTATCCTTTTCCTGTTGATGGAACTAACTTACCAGGCCAGGGAAGGGGAGAGATTCACTTCCAAAAGCCATGGCTTCAGAGTAGAATCTATGAGCACATCAAAACCATACAGCTCTAGAAAGATAAGCCAACACATGAAGATCATTTTCCACATCACAACCACACAAAGACCTAGAAGATTCAATCGAATCAGTTCCCATCAGAGGCTTAGAAACTTGAAGAGTGTAAAAGTTAAAATGAAAATCTTTCAAGGTTAAGAGAAGTCAATCATATCCTAGGAATAATTTTAAAATAACACTACAAAATCCCAATGCTTTTATCATCCACTTTATTGATGTTCCTGGGTTCTATAAGACAGCAATCTGACTCAAAAAAGGGTAATGCACATGCTGTGCTTATGTATGAAAAAGCTGAGAAAAGAAATAAGGGATATCCAATACCAACCCTGCTCTGGGCTTGCTCAGGACTGTCTTCCACTACCACCCCCACCATACTCTGAAACAGAGATCTACTGAAGGTGAAGGAATCGCTCTAGGATCCTTCCTTCACCTTTCTTCACACCTAAGATCTTGCTTCTGCAACCCATTTTAGGAAGACATCTAAGTGTGAATTTATTATTTCCCTTCTCCGATGGTTTTGTTATGGAAGGAATGGGTAAATGACACACAGAGAGGCGGCAGAATGGAAGTAAAATAAAAAAATTTACTCCATCGATGGGGGTCATCACACCTAATGGCAGGGCCCTGATCAACCCAGTACTGGGCTACAACTCCTTTTATAGGGTTTTACAGCCTTGATCTCATTCAGGTGGTTGCATTTCATTTTCACAGTTCACATTACTGATACTCAAAACATAGTGGCAGAGAGACAGTTGAATTTCAACGCAGATGTGGCACTTCTTTGTTAGGGGACATTACATTTAAAATTCATTTAAATATCCATTCTAGCCCGGGGAAGGGGCATGTTTGGTCAGCAAAGTTAACAATGGTTCTTTTCATTTTCAAAACTTTTGAGGGTGCCAGTGAAGGTTGATTCTGGACTAAACAAAGCAGAAGGCAGAAGTTATCTTACATTGGGACACTTCGTACGTTTTTGCTATTAAAGTGTTCTCTATCAGTTTAAAAATAAAAAACTTGGTCTACAGACAGAATGTGAGAAAAGAGTAAGTCACTGGTAGCAGAGCAGGATTTAACAATCCACCTGCACCACTAATGTTATTTAGGAAGGGCCAGAGCCAAAGATCAAGTTTCCATGGCTTCTGGAATCTTCAATGATTTTCCTCTACTTTCCCAACAGCGACAACAGGAAAGGCAAGTCTTGTTTTATTTAACAAATTCAAGGATAAGAGGTTAACTTTGGAGCCCTTCATATTATTACCAATGATATCCTCTCCACAAGGAAAATCACATTGTGCAATCCTTGGTATATATAGGTCAAACACATCAGACTTTCAGAAGTCCCACTCAGCTCCAAACATCCCACTCTATGTCATTAAATAAATCGCCTACACTTTTTCTCCAAGAAAAAGACTAACTTCCTTACTGTCTGATCAGAGCTAAGGTCCACAAAACACACAAATGTTTTCTGAAACAAATTTCCTTCCCCTTCTATAGTCAATTCCCACCTTCCCCATCACCTGGCAATCATAACTTGTTTGTTTTCTGCCTTTCCCAGAAAGTCAAATAAATGGAATCGACTTTGTTTGTAAAATTTACGCCTGGCTTCTTACCATTTGTTGATATGCTTTTGAGATTTATCTATGTTCCTACATGTATCAATAGTGTGGTTCATTCCTTGCAATTGCTGTGTAATATTCCACAATATGGACATACTATGATTTATCCAATCAGCAGCTGATGAATATTTGTGTTTTTTCCAGTTTTTTTGGCATTATGAATAAAGCTGCTATAAGCACCTGTGCACAGGTATTTGCATGAGCATATGGTTTCGTTTCTCCTAGGTATTTACCTAGGAGAATGTTTGGGAATGTTTGGTCACATGCTAAGTATATACTATCACTGCACACCTCTTTCCTCTTACGTTTTCTCCCTAGCACTGTCCCTCCCCACTGAAGTGCATTTTCCAAGGCCATCAGAATGACCTTTCTAAAAGAAAAAAATCTAAGAGATAGTGACAGGCAGTGAATTGGTTTAGCAATAGACACTAATGTTAGGTTTGCTCCTGCAGGATTTTAAAATGGTCACTGCTAGTAACACTATACAGTATTTCCTTTGTTACAACTTGGTCATCTGGAGCTTTGGGTCAAACTGTGATAAAAGTTAAAGAAATAAATAGTCATCCTGCTTAGTGAATGTTTCCTCTAGTGAATGTTTCTACAAGATAAATTCAAACTTATCAGCCTTTTATAATCTGGTGCTCATCTACCTACATAACCTTATCTCCTGTACCCCCACTCCATGCCAGCTGTATCTAGTCACACTTCTTACCATTTCAAAAATGTCACCTCTGGTCATATTTATTTTGTATATCATATTCTCTCTGTCAGGAATGGCTTTCCCTAGCTGCCCTAGGCAAATCTGGTAACTCTTGTATCCCAAAAGCATTACAATTACTCTACTTGTGCTGTCATTTATCATTTATCCCTGCTCCTCCTTGTCCTTTGAGGGAAAGGGCCATGTCTCATCTGTCACTGTATACCAATGACCATCTCCATAACTAATACACAGAAAACAATGAAGAAATATTAAAGAAAAAATGTAAGCAAAAAGCAATATACAATTTTCAAAGACAAAGTAACCTGCAAACAATTTAAAAATAAACTGCAGTAACTGCCCTCCAAAATAACCCTGACCCACATGTCTTAACATATTCATGATAAAGCCAACAATCCTAAAAAACATAAGAAAAATTATTATTCAGAATATCACAAGGACTAGAAATGTACATTGGTACTAGAGTACTTTCTTAGGATGCACAAGGTCCTGGGTTCAATTCCCAGTATCACACATGGAAAAGAATTTTACATAATAAAGATATAGTAAGCAAAAACCTGATGAAAGATGGCTTGGGAAAGGATAGAGAAAAAAGATGTTAGAAGAATGGTTCATCCAAGGCCTAAGAGATTATAAGCATGTCATGCCACTAATTTTGGAAATAATCTACTAACCTTCCACGGAAATAGAGTCCCACCTGAAATGATAGTGCCCAAGGCAATGTGAAGCCCTGATATTAGCCAGTCCTTGCTGTCACTGAAATCCTTTTGTATAAAGGAAATTCTTTTCACCTTGGCTTTGGATTTGAGTTTATAAGCTAAGAGAGAAGTCTTCATAATGGGGTCCAGAAGAAGAATTTGGAAAAACACAGACCAAGATCCCACAGGAAAATGGACTAAATAAAAGAAAAAGCCCAAAGCCAATTGTTAACTAGGCCAGTAAGTCAATAAGGTATCTGGCTATCAGAGATATGAGTAGACTTGAAAGGAGTATCTAGAAGTAGGTACTGCTGACTGGGGGAAAAGAGTGCCCTTTTTCAGGACTGATCTACTAGGAAAGATGAAATTGTTTTTTCTCAGATCTAGTTACCGGAGAGCAAAGGAGAATCCAGGATATGAGGCATGCCAAAAGTGGCCAGGCTCATCAGAACTTGTCTTTATGTGGGTGCAGAAACAGCCAGAGAGACCTGGCTCCCAAACCTGGCTTTGCTATTTATTAGCCTCATGACCTAGGACAACTTACTTAACCTTTCTAAATCTTTCTTCCTTGTCTATAAAATAAGGCTTTTATGATATATGATTGGTCGTAAATACCAACACTGTTGAGGACTACTGGGAAAAAAACCAATGTTTGTTTGACAAACAGCAGGTACTTCCAACAGAAATCCCTGCTACAGTAAACTTCCTTTCCAGCCTAAACAGGAGCAAGGAATAAAGTAGGAAGGACATTATCTTAAGAAGTGAATACTTTGACTTTCCTTATTTTTTATTGGTGTGCTTCCCACTTCCACTCGGTCCAGTCATTTATGGACACCTTTCTTCTGAGAATGTCAGCTTACCCTGGCAAACGGCAAGAACAGAAGCCACAGAAACAGAGAGAGATGTACCGAGCACAGCTGGTCTGAGCAAACATGTCACTAGTCTCAGCAAAATATGGCTGAGCTCGTCAGTGCCCTGAGTGGGCGTACAGTTGGTCCACATGAACCTACACTACAGAGGATCAGACATAGCTCATCACCTCAGCCATCCTCACATACAAAGATAAAACCGCTGTTGGCAGCCAACAGCTTTAGAGGACAGCTAACATCCTGTTGTTTTTGGCTATTTTTCTCCAACTGATCAAAAAGCTGTTCTCATAGTGATCTCACAGTGCCAATTTCTTCTGCATATTAAAAAAGTTGCTAGAGAAGCATATTCTTACACAAGGCATCACATTTTCACGATCTTGGGAGGCAGTAATAATTATACTGTCAAAAATCTGTTTTACTGGAGGAGGCAACAAAGATTACACAACTGAAGTCCTATGATCAAGATGCTGTGACTGCCAGGGCTCCTGCAGAGTTCCACTTCTCTAGCCTCTTTTGTCCAAGCTCTTTCACTCCCTAGCTACAGAATCTGAGAGAGGGACTCATTTCTCAAGGTCTCCATTTCTATATTTAGACTACTTATTTCCTAAGGTCCTCCCAGATGTACAATACTATGAAAAGGCATTAAACAGCTACATTTCAGATAGTCTGTGAAGGCTGCTGAGCCTGTACATAAAACTGATGACACAGTGCAGATCTATATACTCACTATTCTGTGTAAAATCTGATTTGAGAGGCACAAACTGTTGATGGCAATGCACTGCTCACAGATTAACTCTGCCAGGCATGTGGCAGAAATTGAAAAAGAAAAGTTAGATGTGTAAATAAAGCTATGAATGAAACAACTGAAGGTCCCTGGCAACACAGCAGCACATTACAGGTGGTAGGGTGGAGAAGAAAGCAGAGGACAGAAACCCTCAGATGGCAATGGAATGCCCCTGGCACAGAGTCATAAGGTGGAAGGTCAGCAACAATAACCAGAAGAATATTGGGAACCCCATTCCTGAACTACTTGCTTCCCCTAAAAGCACCAATGCTCTGTTTAAGCCAAAAACTTCTGGGAAACTCTCAATTCCTGTTTACTCTTACACAGATGGGGGCGGGGAAAAGCTTACTCCTTATAACTCAAACCTCAGGGGAGGCTACTAGTCAGAGAGACAAAGGGATTCATCCAAATATACTCACGTATACAGAATCATATCTGCCCAGGGGAAGTAATGAAGCACACAAAAATCCCAGGGCCGACAGGAAGTGGAATTAGAACCACGAAAGTCAAGAAGACAGTCAACAACTTAAAAAACTCCAGATGCACTCAGCTGACTGAAACTGAACTCAAGCAGGAGAGGAGAAAGGAGACCCATGCTGATCCCATGGACTAGGGAGTATTTCACTGAGTCAGAGGAAGTCACTACTACTTTCCCATCAAAATGTTCTACTGGTACAAAGTGTGGTAAATTTCTAAGCTTCAAAAGGCAATCAGGTAATAAAACAACATTTAAAAGGAAACATTTAGAGAAACTGTCATGATTCACTCCTTAAAAAAAAGATTCTCATAATAAGGGCTATGAGAAATTTACCTTGTTTTGTTTTGTTTTGTTTTTGGAGATAGGGTCTCACTATGTAGTTCAGGCTGGCCTTAAATTCAGTATGTAGCTCAGACTGGCCTCAAACTTGCGGCCATCCTCCTGCCTCAGCCTCCTAAGTGCTAGAATTAGAAGTGTGTGCCACCAGACCCAAGTGAGAAATTTGTTTTCATATAAGAACCAAGTAGATGTAGAAAAGAAACTTTTATTTATTATTTTAATCTAATGAGGCTTTAGAATTATTTTCTTTCTTGCTTGCTTTTTTTTTTTGTACCAGGAATCGAACTCAGGTCCTTGCACTTGCAAGGCAGGCAGCAGAACCACTGAGCTAAATCCCTGGCCCTAGAGTTCTATTTCTAAATGCACTGGGTTCTATCTTCAAACACAGTGACATAACTGTACGAGCTCTAGGCTCTTACCAAACCAGGTTCATTGGGAAGCTTCCTGCCAGGCCATTAAAGGCAATTAGAACAAGCACCATCTTTCATCTGGCAAACATTTCCAAACACCCTCTAAGAGCAAAAGATGCTGCTCTGTACTGGGGGGGTGGGGCGTAAATCAAGGGAGACCTTGTCACTGTCCTCCAGGAGCCTCCATTCGGTAGGAGAGATGGGCATATAAATGGCTACCAGACGACACTCTAGGACTAATGCAGAGCTATGAGCAGAGGACGGAGGCCTGAGGGTGGGAGAGTCCAACCTTGACCAGTGGAGTTAGAAGACAGGTCGCCAAGGAAGGGATATTTGGCTTTGTCTTGAAGAATATCAGCGATCCAGGAGCTAAATTAACATAAGAAAAATGGTCCAGACACAGAATAAATCAAGCAGGTACAAAGGCAAAGGGTTAGAAAAGGTCCCGGGGGAATCCAGGGAGGTAGTGTAAGAAACGCAGTGAGGTGGCAAGGGGGACACAGAGGCTGTTAAGAACTCAAGAAGAAAAACCCAGAGACCACAGGGCAAGCACGTTTATCAACAAAACAGCATGAAATGATGGGAAGTAGAAGGGGACAAGCCTAGAACAGCAGGGGAGGGGACACAGTGAGGCACTGCGTGGGGCAAGGCTTCCTGGAGGAGGCAATGAGGAGTGGAGTCTAAGAAAAGCATACAGGTGTGCAAGGCTGACAGGAGGATCTTCAAGTTGGACAGCAGAAATTAGGCACTGTCTGAGGCACAAAGCGTGCTCAGCACTCTAGTACAGAACAGTGGGATGACTGGGTAAGAGGGGGAAATGGAGTTCTAGAAAGTCAGCCGGGGTCAGATCCTTAGAGGCCTTGAAGGTCACATTGGGTTTCAATGATACTATTTTAGCCTCTGTGACAGGTAAGGACCTCAGAAGACATGCACATCTAGATATGCATTTCAACGTGGTATCATAACCTCGTTTTTTTCCCCGTGCAATTTTAGGTCCAGATTTATCTACATCTTTGATTTAGGATCTCAACAATTCCCTTATTTTAGTACCTCTTAAGCACAGACTGTTATGATAAGCCATTAAAGAGATCCAGAGTTATAATGATTAATTACAAAAATAATAAGAAAATAGTTTTCGTTGAGTACAGCTTAAGGAACAGACTTATGCCAGCACTTTATGTATGCACCATCTCGTTTGATCTTCACGGTGCTCTTAAGAAGCAGACACCGCTGCAGCTGCCACTTTAGAGTTGAGAAAATAGATTAACAGCGAAAATCACCAAAGTAGTCAGCTCTGGGTTCAAATGGGTTTCAAATTAAGGCTTCTTGGCTTTAGAGCCCAAGTTCCTTACCTCCTAAGCAAGCCAAGCCTCTTATATCCTTACTGCTTGTACTGTGCTACCCTATACTTTTCCATCAACTTATCAGTGGCCTGAGTACATTTTGCTAACCAGCATAGCGCCTGCTGAAAGCCTGTGTGACTTTACAGACATTCACAGCGGTGATTACTAACAAGTTCCTGTGAGTGGAGAAAGCAAATGTTCACCCACACTCTCAACGCCACAGTTTCAGGAGTAGGTCAGCAGGTAACAGGTTTCCTGACCCAGTGTTTGAGAATGGCTTATTATTCCTCCTAGGTGCCATCAGGAGATTGGGGGTGAAGCAGAAGGGGAAGAGGAAAAAGAGGAGGGAAAAAAAGAGGAGGAGGAGAAAGAGAAGGAAGAAGAGGAAAAAGAAAAAGAACCCACTAGAGAAAAGACTAAAACAAAAAAAAGAATCATCAGAAAGTGGGAGAAAGCACATACTGGTACCAGCCAGGGCTTCCTGGAACAGCTCCCACTCTGGCTGCCAAAGAGCTCTGGAATATATTTGTTAGAGCTGGATTCCTGTACAGTCAGTCTGTTGCAGACTTTTTCTGACCGTACTCCGAGACCCATGCTTAGTTCCAATCCTGCCTCCCACACCGAAAGCTAGTCACTCCTCAGGGGACTTCCAACTGAGGCTCATCATTGGTCTCCTAGTGGGCTTGGTATGTGCTATTTGAACTTAGAAAGAAACCGAAGTCCATCTACCTCTCATTCCTGAATATCACTAAGCCTCCCTGCCCCAAAATCCCATCCCGACCCCACAGGATCCTCCTCACAAAATATCCCAAGCTTCTTGCAGCTCCTTACCAAAGCAACTGCTGCGATAAGGAACAAAGGTTTTACAAGCGGTAGCAATAGCGAGCTCAGCGGAGATTATTGCCTTAATGATGAGGTCTTCCACGTGGGCCATCAGGGCTGCAAAAAAGAGTTTCAAAATGAAGAAGAAGGAAAATCTAAAATGCATACATCAGTATGACCGGGTTGTGATAAAATTATAAAAGCATGCGGGCTTGTTCAGAAAGCTTCTATATTGCAGTCTTTGGAATGGCTGCTACAGGGGCAGACAGAGCCATAAATACATCGATACAGCTGAGAACACAGGCACAGGGATCTGCTCAGGTGCTCTCCTGTGACAAAAGACAGAGAGACAATGGGAAAGGAGTCTGTCTTCCTTTCTCCTTCCGCCTCATTGCCTCTCCCCTTGAGGACTGAGACTGCTCAGTCTCAGTCGTAGGTGCCCATTCTATCCTACTATACTCAAACTCCACTCTGCTCCTGCTCCAACTCAGCAACAGGAATGAAAGAGATTAACTTAGAAAAATTTGAACCCAAGACCCAGATAGAGATATGCAATTTATTACATAAAAAGTTGGCTGTCTTTTAAGTTACTACTTCAACATTCAAGAGAAATAAATTCACTGAGGATTAAAGCAAAAAGTTATGCCTCTCCAACTAGCAACAAGCAAAGGGATTTGGAGATTCAGGGAAGGCCTTTTCCCAGGAACAGGAAAAAGCAACTCCAAAGCAAATCATCCCACTGGGCATCTCAGCAACACCGTCAGAGTTACAAGAATAACTTCTGGCCAGAGATGGTGCTGATAAAGTTGTACAAAGAGGAATGAAGGAGGAAAGGGGTTAAAACTCACCAGTTGTATCTCTGCCTTCTTGTTTCAGGTACCTGAGCATAGCACTCATGCTCCATTTGTTCCCATAATCCTCCACTTCTGGATCATCACAACTACAAGGAATGAATGAATCAGGTCACTATGCCATTAGGCCAGGCTGCGTCAACAAGGTTCCTTACAAACAGCCTTTAAGCTTTCAGAAAAATGTTCATTTTGCTAACTTGCACTCACCCATTTTTTCTTGCTCTTTCTGTTACGTATCCCTCAATTTACCAATTTCTTAAATGAAAATCAAAATGCATTTCATTTGCCCTATTGAAGATGGTAGGGAAGAAGGAGGTAAATTCTTCCTTAACCAAACAATTATAAAAGAGTGAAGGAAACGTGGAAAAAAAAGTGAACAAATTTAAAAACAAAATTGCAACAGAGGAATAACAATGGGAACGTACACCGTGGTCTTAAGGTAAACGTCACGAGTCTAGAAAACCTTGGATGCCGTTTTCAGACCAGAGCCGAACAGGGACGAGTGGGTGAGCTTATCTGGTGTGGCGCACTAATTCGCTAACTGCACACAGAACCTGCCTCAGCATGGGGAGCAAGCTTCCTCCCCTGTGGTGGCGGACGGGGTCGTCGCGGGAGGGAGACCGCACTAGAGTAGTCAGGGAGAAGAAGTATCCCACTGCCATCATGCAAGCGGGGCAGGCGCCTGTGATGCTGCAAGTCCTTCAGTCCGGAACTTGTGCTTTCCAGCTGCCCTCCGATCCCTGCCGCCTTCCCACCCTCTACACCAGCCACACCTCCAGTCCTCTTCCCCACCGAAGGATATGGTATCTTCAGCCAATGCAAAGCAGTGGGCACAGGCCACTCAGTGAAGCCCACGCAGCTCCAGCAGCTGTCCCATCACCTCCAGACTCTCTCCTTCCTTCCTTTCTCTGGACATGCTAGGGCCCTATTTTTAGTCTGAGTAGAAAGTGACTGTTTGGGTTTCTTTTCTATTTTTCCACTTTCTGGCAAAATTATCAGGATGAAAGAAAACAGAGCAAGGGGAATATTTCCACAGAGCTGGGTTGGTACTCCCTTCTTCCACTACATTTTTTTTTTTTGAGGTGGTTTTATTTCTCTTTCTTTCATTTTTTCCTGATCAAATAAAATTTAGAAAATGCATAAAAGCATATAGAAGAAAATAAAAATCACCCATCCACAATCCCATACCTTACAGTTAAGCACAGTTAGCATTTCAGTGTGTATCCTTCTCTTTTTTTTCTCTCAACAAAAATAGCTTTAGATATTTATCTATTCAATCAGGAAATTCAGTTGCTTATACTGTCTAAAACGTGCTTCTACTACCTAACAATACACAGTAAAAAAGCTTTCTTATCTCTGACCCTATGCATACATCCTTTATTTCTTGAGGTCAATTTCCTAGAAATGGAACTTCTGTGTCAAGGAGCACACATATTTTTAAATTTCTGATGTTTTCCAAGTGTTGAAGGGACCTCATTTCTTGATTTCTAAAAAGTTCCTCCAGGTATGGTGGCGCACGCCTATAATCCTAGCACTCAGGAGCCTGCGACAGGAGGATCACTGTGACTTCAATGCCAGCCTGCACCACATAGTGAGACCCTGTCTCCACGAAACAAAACAAGTTCCATATGTCTGTTAAATTCCCACTCTCACATCAAGTGAGGGAAGACGAGCAGGAAATAAAATGATAAAGGCTTATTTTGGTGGAGAAAGGCAGACCCTATAACTGTGCAAGCAATGAAGCAGCAGCAATAAATATGCCTTAAAACTGTATACCACGACCCTTTCATAAGTGTGACAGGGCCAGAAACTCAATGTTACGCTCCAGTGAAACGCGTTAACTTTCCACCTGACTTCTCTAACTCTGAGCTCAGACACAGCCAGTACCTTACATAGTCTCCACTCTTCTTATTCACGCTGTAGTTTGTCAGGTGCATGAACTGGTTCCGAATGTTCTTGGCTCCTTGATCATATCGCACGGTTGCAAACCTGATTGAAGGACAGAGGTTAAGTGCCAGGATCAGAGTTTCAAGAAAACAGAAGCTAGCTGGGTATGGTGGCACACGCTTATAATCCCAGCACCTGGGAAGCTGAGGCAGGAGGAATGCCATGAGTTCGAGGCTAGCCTGGGCTACATAGTGAGTTCAAGACCTGACCTGGGGGCTGGGGATTTAGCTCAGTGGTTCTGCCACCTGCCTCGCAAGCACAAGGCCCGAGTTTGATTCCTGGTATCAGAAAAAAAAAAAAAGACCTGACAGGGCAGTGAGACCCTGTCACGGAAACAAAGGAAAGAAAGGAAGAAAGAAAACAAACAGAACCTAGAACTAAGGATCAGTGAAGTAATTAATAATAATGGTGATGATGATGATGATGATGATGGAGGGTGACATCATTACCTAATAAATACTGAATGCCTACTAAACGCTAAAGCCTATGCTAAGTGTTTTGTATATAATATCACACATAAATTCAATCCTTAAAAAACCCCGAAAGTAGGTTACATTGTATCTAATTTTTAAAATAGATTCAAGAACTCAATGTGACCCAGAAAGATTAAGAAACTTGCCCAAGATCACATGGACTCTAACCCCCTTGGTCTCAACCACTAGGAGATGCTGCATAATAACAGCGATAGCAATAGGAAGGGTGCGAACTTTCAAGACGGTTACTCACAACCTGGGAAGCTGTGTGTGGGCCAGTAGGGATAACTGGGCATCAGCGGGTCAGGAAACAGTGTCCACACAGAGCCTGGCACTGTAACACTCTAGGGTAGAAAGTTAAGTAAAAGAAAAAAAAACGACAGCACAGCAATACAGACTTAGAATCACATCCACAGAGAGAACAGAACCAATCCATAATATTTAATTTAAAAAGAACAATAACGTGGCCACATCAACAGCAGACAAAGCAGAACAGCATAAATATGGGCATAGCACAAGAAACTAATTCATGGATTTGGAAGGAAGGCAGAAGACAGAGGGATTAAACATGGAGCCCAGTAAAAACAGGACAGCAATATGATATCCTGGACTTCTGTCAAAACAAGACCAAAGCAGAAAATATATGTGCCTCTGAAGGAAGTAAGCAGGGAAAGAGAAAACTTTCCAGTGATGTTCAATATCAACAAAAGGCCACTCAAGGCGAACGGATATGGTAAATATCAAGCCCTGTTTACATACCTCAAAAACCGTATCACCCTCCCCTAAAGTGGTTTTCCCAAGAGGCAGATCCAAGTGTGTGAAAAAAACCTGGAAGGCCACAACTTTATTTTCATATGATTTACAAATTATTTACATATGCTTATCCAGACTATGAAGTCAACATGAATTCTTACCACATTAAAGGTCAGCATTTAAAAATTTTCCTCTTTTCCATTTCTTCTCACCCACCCACTATCTCACTCCTTAATTCTCTGTATCAGAAATATACAAGAGCCAAAGAAACAGCTGTGAGGGGAAAAAAAAAAAAAGAGCTAAACTCAAAAACCTAAAACAAACATGAGGCCAGGAAAAGGATGTGGACAGGGAGAATTCTGACCAGGCTATAGCTAAAGGAAAAGTGTTCGAAAAGCATTGTGTCTATGTTTGAGAAGGACCTCAGATTTTCAACAAACTTCTGGGAATTATCACTGAACTCTTCATCATGTCATCCATTGGCTCAGACTCGCCTTTACATCCCCATCTTCCTCCTGCAGTGGTTCTCCAAGCAGATGGAAGACAGTCACTCTGAATTCCTGGGAAACACAGAGGGGGCCCAGGCTGGCCCCCACAGGCTGCCTGCCTTGACCTGATATTACCTCACAGTGACATACCTCCCACCATCCTTTCCCTAAAACAATGAGTTCGGGAGAGGGGAAAGTTCTGCTTCAGGGAAACAGGCTCAGCTCTGCTGATTGTGAGAACCTGATCTGAGCTGGTCATAAAAAGCCGAGCAAAATCCCCCGGTGGGGCAGTTCTGACACCACTGACACATTTATCCATTCCTACACTCCTTTTCTCACGGGCAATGCACTTGTACAAAATCACTCTTCTTCTTCTTCATCTTCTTCTCCCTGGGTCATTATACTCTGAACCCTCAGCAAAGACAAGGTTACTAAGGAAAAAGAGTGGGCTATCACAGAGCCTAAGAAGCAGTAAGCAGTAAGAAATAGGGAGAAAAAGAAGTTCCTCTAGGAGGCAAAAGTACTGAATTCTGTATTTCACTTAGCCCAGTGGACAGTGCAAAAGATCACAGAGAGGAAAGGGAGGGATTGGAGGAATATGTGCTTGTCTTTCTTCCTAAGCCAGTTAAATCGTTCAGCTCTCATAAAAATCCATATTCAACAGATGATATTAATTCTCTGATCATCATTCTCATTATTGTCTAGACCAGGGTCACACTAGTCTCAGATCTGGTCTACTAGTTAAGTTCTGATTATCTGATTAAGCTATAACAAAGTTCTTGTTGTTTTGTTTTGATTTTTTTGCTTTTTAAAACTCGAATTACTTGACCAACATTGCTCCCTGTAGCCCAGGAGCAGCCTGCCCCTATGGAGAGGAGGAAAATGGTACACAGTATGGGAAGAGAGCCCTTGCTGCAGGTTGCCTAAGCAGAGGTCTAAGTCCACACAAGGTGGGCATCTGAGCAGGGTGGTGACCAGCAAGGTCAGGGGATTGGCTACTCTCAAGGGAAAGGAGTAAATGTTAAATATTCTGAAGATAATGGAAGACAGATTTCTCACTATTGGAGAAGAGAGTTTAAAATATGGAAAGGAAAAAGGCTGGGATGTAGTTTTGAACGAGAACTGGAAGTGGTGATGTTAACTACTCTTCAATGCGGAGACAGCACAGAAATAAGTACAGATGTAAATGCCCATGTACGTGTATGTTTGCGAAGTCATCAACATCTTGGTGACTAAACACTACTTGTCATGACAAAGCAAACAGGGTCAGGTAAGAGCAAAGAATGAGACTGAAACATCTTGTGCTCAGAGAATGATGGGGACATGTCAAAAGGACACAAAAGGTAAATGTGGAACGGCTAGAGCACCAAAATAAACCATAATAAAAGAACCCATGAAATAAAATCGAAATCCTCCAGTCTTCATTAGTACAATACATGAAAAGATGGGAAATAAAAGCTCTTCCTTGAAATAAAACGCCAAAATAAATAAATAAACAACTAAATAAGGGGTGGAATTAGAAAATCGTCATTTGGAAAACATTATTTGCAATAATTAATTCAGGCAAAAAAAAACCATAGATATTAAAGTTTTTGGGTGAAAACAAGATCAAGAATAATATTTTACATGAATTTAGGTATCTTCTCATAAAATACAAAAGGAAAGGCAAAACAACTTTACAGGGGAGCTACCTTGTAGAAATCACCTTAATCCAAATAATTCCCACCAAGGCCGGAAATTTAGCTCAGTGGTTCCAGCGCCTGCTTCACAAGTACAAAAACTGGAGTTCGATCCCAGGTATCAAAAAAAGACTTCACATGGGCCATCAGATACAATTCAATGGGAAGAACTACCATCACTTCTGTACTACTGTGGCCCCAAATACACAAACCTATATTTAATTGTGAGAAAATACAGATAAACCCAAATGGAGGGAAAAACTACAAAAGGACTGGCCTGTAACCTTCAAAAGTGCTGATGCCGAGAAAGTAACCGAAAGACAGAGGAACTGCTGTAGACTGAAGGAGACTAAAGAGTCCTGACAAGTAACAGTGACCTAAGATCCTTAACTGGGTCCTTTTGTTACACAGAACATTATTCAGACAACTGGAGGAATTCGAATGGGGTCTTTAGACATAAGGTAAAAAAAGGCAGGTCTTGACACTATTTTTGTAGCTTTTCTACAAGTTCAAAATTAAGTCTGAAAAACTTGGTAAGTTTCACAATAAAAATCCAGATATTCAGCCTCCCTTTTAAAACCATTAGATCTGGCAATTCCAGCATGTGTGGCTTGCTGACACTCCCGTAATACCAAGTGCCTTTAAGTGGGACAGACGGTGGCTCCTCTTGGTTTTCCATCTGGCTGACTTTCTTCAGGGAATGTCCTTGTGAGCACTTAGGCTCCTGACCTTTAAATCAAACCTTCACATATTGGTGCAACATGAATTTGTTGTTGTTGTTCTGGGGATTGTACTGAACTATATCCCCTGCCCTTTCTATTTTTTATTTTGAGACAGGCTCTTGCTAAGTTGCCCAGGCTGGGCTCAAACTTAGACATGTTCCTGCCCTTAGCCTCCCAAGTAGCTGGGACTACAGAAATGTGCCACTATGCCCAGCTTCAACACAATTTATTAGCAACAACCTAAAAGGTAACTCTTTACTAGGTACTCCAGACCCACATTTGCAAATACTTATCCTAACACAGACTGAAATTCACATCTCTCTGAATGAGGACAAGATTTAGGAAAGCTCTCACAATAGAATTTCATAGGCTTGGCCTTTAATTCAAGAAGCGGGAGGAGGTAGGGGAGAGGTGTCTTACTTTCTGGGTTCAATCTGAAACCCTGGATAATACTTCACAGCCTACTGATGAATATAGAATTATATGCCCTATTCTCCACTCTGAAAACAAAAGTAGACTGTCTTTATTCTGACTAGCTTCTTAAATCAAATGCTGTTTTTTCTCACTTGGAATCAAAACAACAGTAATAATCCATCTAAAATTCAAGTGTGGAAAAAAAAAAAAAAAGGGCTGAGGATTTAGCTCAATGGTTCCTCTGCCTGCCTTGAAAGTACAAGGCCAGAGTTCAATCCCCGGTACCAAAAAAAGAAGAAAAATAAATAAATAAATAATAAAACTCAAGTGTGTGTGTGTGTGTGTGTGTGTGTGTGTGTGTGTAGAAAGGATTTCAATGTTTGGTGTATACAGATGGTCTCCAACTTCTGATCATTTCTCTCACAATTTTTTTCCCACTCTATGATGTGAAACTGATACACATCCAGTAGAAACCATACTTCAAATTTTGAGTTTTGACCTTTCCCCAGGTTA